TGCAGGCATACTTTCGTATATACCAAAATCCAAACAAAATACTCTAGTTGGTCATGCCCTTGATGGATTATACACATCATAGTTGATAATAACTTATTCTTGGAATTTTTATGTACTTGCCATTTCCATTTTGTAGGTTGTCCTCTGACAACCAGAGCAATACAATTGGTTTTGAAGCCCCATAAAGAAGTTATGAACTGGAAAAGTTTGCAGCAGTAGTTCTTGCTACAAATTGGGTTGCTTTGGAGATGTTGTTTACAACATAGTTTGTTAACGAACAGCCTATGAGTTCAATTGTACTTTATCAGTTCTAACTATGCTATTATATGGATTATATGTTGGAATTTTAAAAAGGTTTTAGTATAAACCACTTAAAGGCTTATTTTGAAAATTTAAAAAAAATCTATTTTGACAATGTCAAAGCGTGATAAAGATGTCTCTGCAACAAGAAGTTACTTCTATCCTTTCACTCCATGGTTCAAGATTATCTTCAAGAAGATGAATCAAATCAACCAGAGGTGCAACGTAACATTAATCTCGAACTCATCAAGAAGAACATTAAGGATGATGAGTCGGATTTTGCACATCTCCCACCTTTTTTAATACAAGAAAAAGAAGTATATGTTGAGGTGTCCAATCTTCCCGGTGAAGATGTGAATTTTTATATATAAAAACAATCGACTATGTAGTACATTCCTTCAAAAAAGAAAAACCTTCGAGTTCAATGTGCCTTCTAGAAGTAAGAGTTACATGGTCTTCAAGCGTCACTTAGGCCGTAGGTTGCTGACCAAACATGATACAAGGCGTTTCTCCTCTGGTACAAATTCAAAGTTATGCATGTCTACCCTTTTCATTTTGTTGACCATCTATTACAAATGCTTCATTGGTAAAAAATGATACATAAGAATCGTGTGATTTATTATATTGATACTAACCAATTTAAGAGTGAGTACGATGCATATGGAGTACTTGATGACGTATGTTGCATGCTAAGCTCCATAAGGCCGAGTTTTAGGGTCATTTCCGACTCAACATGTAAAGTTATTGGTCCATTTAACTTCGTGTGCGATGATACTCCTCATGATTGTTCTTCGAGTGCTCAGGAAATCCCGTCTTGTCATTGTATAGTCTGTACTAATTGTAACAACTATGAGGCATCATTCATCTTATTGGTTGAGAAGAATACGGTGTTCCACGATTTAGCCCATGCAAAATTTCATGAGAATGCTAAAGGCATTATGGTGTTCGACAAAGGATATGGTGACAGATCTACCAAGGTATTCTTGAAAAAACTTTATTATGACTTAAGACCTCCGGTACTAGCCATTGTCGATTGCAATCCATATGGGCTTCAATTAGTTTTTTACTAAAAATTTGGTTTGGCTTACAAATCATTTGATAGGGTTAACATAGCCACCCCCGTACATTAGATGGTTGGGAGTGAGCATGCGACCTATACCAGGCAATCGGGGCAAGTGTCAATCCCTGATGAGTAGGAGGGCATAGCGGTCGCTGTAAAACCTGGGGCGCGAGCCAGGGTGGAGTGGTCGTCAGTGTAGATCTTGGTGGTAGTAGCAAATATTCAAATGAGAACTTTGAAGGCCGAAGACGGAAAGGTTCCATGTAAACGGCACTTGCACATGGGTTAGTTGATCCTAAGAGACGGGGGAAGCCCATCTGATAGTGTGTCTAGCGCGAACTTCGAAAGAAAATCGAGTTAAAATTGATTAACTGGGACGTGGTGGTTGACGACAACGTTAGGGAGTTCGGAGACGTTGGCGGGGGCCTTGGGAAGAGTTATGTTTTCTGTTTAACAGCCTGCCCATCTTGGAAACGGCTCAGTAGGAGGTAGGGTCTAGCGGTTGGAAGAGCACCGCACAAGTACCATTCACGCTTGACAACCCTCGAAAATTCAGAGGATCGAGTACCATTCACGCTCGGTCGTACTCATAACCACTTCAGGTCTCCAAGGTAAACAACCTCTGGTCGATGGAACAATGTAGGCAAGGGAAGTTGGCAAAATGGATCTGTAACCTCGGAAAAAGTTTTGGCTCTGAAGGCTGGGCACAAGGGTCCTAGTCCCAAACCTGTCGGCTATCAGTGGACTGCTCAAGCTGCTCCCGCGGGTCATCGCGTGCCTATCGGGGGACAGACTGGGAGCGTTCCTTTGGGGACTTTCCTCGGACGTCAAACAGCTGCCTCAAAACTAGTACGGATAATGCCAACGCAATGTGATTTCTACCTAATGCTCTGAATGTCAAAGTGAAGAAATTCAATCAAGCGCGGGTAAACGATGGGAGTAACTATGACTCTCTTAAGGTAGCCAAATGTCTCGTCATCTAATTAGTGACACTCATGAATGGATTAACGAGATTCCCACTGTCCCTGTCTATTATCCAGCCTTCAGATTTAGAAAAAAACAAAATTAATGTGGAAGGTAAAGATTTGGGAAATAATATTGTCTCTACAGCAAAAAAAACTTATTGGAATAAGATTTTGTGAAGATGGACGTCAAATGAGTTAGTGATACAAAAAAAGATGTTGGAGATCAGAAAGAGCATAAATATTGATAGTTTATGTGGCAAAAGGAGTCGATATTTGTCAATGGAATTATTGCCAGAGAAACTAGATTCAAAAGATTGGATGTAGAGGAATAGTATATATGCAAAGGCGTTTAGGGAGTGTGTTGGCTATGCTGGAAGAGCTATATATTATTGTTACTTAAGAATGGTTCAAGCTGCGAACTAGCTGCTTGATATCAATATTGCAGACTTATTGTTTACTATGAGCATTGTTAATTCTAGATAGAGTAGAAAAGTTAGATGTATTTGATTAGTACTATGGGGGCATAATCTAAAGTCGAGGTTAAAGTTTGCCAGTAATGGGCCGCTGGCTCGTCTATCTGAAACTTAACAAGGTATGAGAGTGGGTTGATTGACCCGGCCTAGATTATTTGGCCTTTAGCTTTACCCCTTATCCAACATGTGGTGTTCACATGCTGGGCTTGAATGTTTATCCTTACTCAATATGTGGTGTTCATGTGTTAGGGTTGAATGATTGACTTTGATGTTGACTTGGCTCCATTTGTGGCCAACTATATGGTGGTTGTGGAAAAATATAAAGTCTCACATCGAAACCTTGACTAAATAAATAATTAAATACCCTGGATGCATATTGTAGTTGTGGAAAAATAAAGGTAGTTTTTGCACCACTAGCCACTTTACCAAACCACTTAGGGCCAATTCTCACATGTTTTGCTAAACATAAATCTTCCATTTCAAGTGCTCGGAAGTTTTCATTTGGAGGCTTTGTGTTTATTGGCAATAGTGATGCTGATTGTGCACCTAGAGAAAATGAGGAAATTTGTAGTTTTATTATGTTACCTTGACTTGGAGTATTTGTGCACTTGTGTTATATTTCTTTTTTCTTTTTCTTTTTTTATGTGAACTATCAAACTAAGTTTTAAGTAATCCTATCTTAATGGAAACATCGGGCTTGGGCCATTTTAACAAATTTAGGGCCCGTTTGATAACCATTTCAATTTTAGTTTAATTTTCATTTTTTGTGTTAGAGTATAGAAGAAAAAGAGGGAGAATAGAAGTGAGAATGAGAGTGGAGATGGGATTGAGAGAGAACATGAGAGGAGAGGATGGGAGAGAGAAGTAACAAAAGTTAAAACAAAAATGTATTTGAAATTGTTTTCACTTTCAAGTTTTTGTTTTCACTTTTGTTACTCCTCCCTCTTATCCTCTCTCTCAATCTCATCCTCACTTTCATTCTCACTCTCATGTTCCTCCATACTCTAGCACAAAAAATGAAAACTAAAAAATAAAATTGAAATAATTATCAAATGAGCCCTTAATTTTCGTGCTTGATTTGGGCAATTTTCTCTAGTATATTTCTTCTCTTTGAGTTCGGATATTTGGGCTAGAGTTTCGTGTGCTCCTATTTTGGGATGGAAATAAGTTCTCATTTATTTCTTATTTTGACTGAGTGGTTTTTAGTTTTTATTGGTTTTATCCATTTTCTTGTTGTCGGAATTTTCACCAAAAAAATAGACGATGAACCACCAAACTTTATCACGAACCTCTTATCCTACTGCCACAAACAATAAGGCCCCGTTTGGGGTTGCTTTTTTTGGCCAAAAACCTGCTTCACTTTAAAGTTAAGCAATTTAAGGTGTTTGGTAAAAAGAAAATATCCCGATTATTTTAAAAGCAATGGCTTTTTGACAGCAGCTTTTAAAAGCAGACTCTGGGTTGCTTTTCAAAGCTGCTTTCAAAAGAAGCAGATATGAACATTTAATGAATTTTTTTAATTCCCAAAATACCATCATTCATTTTAAAAAATGACACCACCCCCACTTTCACATCCAACTCCACCACTTGCACCACCACATTCACTACCTCCACAACCACCACCACCACATCCTCTTCCTCCTCATCCTCCACCACCACCACCACAACCACCACCCCTCCACCTCGTCCACCACCTCCACCACCACCTCCTCCTTCACCTCCACCTCCACCTCCACAACCACCACCACCACAACCAACATCTCCTCCAAAACCCCCAAATCCACCACCACCACCACACCCTCATCCTCCTCCGCCATCCCCACCACCACCAACTCCACCTTCATCACCACCACCACCTCCACTCCATCACTACAACTACCACCACATGATTAATACATAACACTTTTAACATCATGTCTATTTTAGTCATTATTCACAGTTACAACAATTTTATATTAAAATTTACCAAACGCTTTTACACTGCTTTTTGTACTAACAGCACTTTAAAAATATTGTTTACCAAACATGGAGCTGCTTTACTTTACAGCTAATTATTTTCAAAGCACAGCAGAAGCAACTTTTTTTAAAAGTGACAGCAATCCCAGACTAGGCCTAAGTCTGAGAGGAGCTTTTAGACCAAAAGAAAAAAAAAACATTTATTTAAAAAGGAAAAGAAGAACTGGCCAAAAAAAAAAAAAGGAAAAGAAGAAAAAGCGAATTTAAAACAAAAAAGAAAAAAAACACGATTGCAGAAGTAGAGGCAGTGGATCCGAAACCGAAAGAGCTCCACATCTGAGATCACTTTACACCGCCAATTACCCAAACTCTTTTGTCATCCATTTTCCCCTTTTCTCATTATCGGACTTCGTCGTCTTCGTTCACCCTCCTCTTCTAGCCCTCTGCTCCCTCTCTCTGTCTCCTCCGATTAGAGTTTCTTCGCTTCCTAACTCAGGTGAATCCGTCTACTTACTTGTATAAATCGTGATTCTTGATATTTATTCTGATCATGAATTCATTTTATATGATTTTCTTCAACTTACTGTTAATTGTGAACTTGAGCTTGTCAGCATTGATTGGGGCTGTGTTTTTATCAATTTTGATTTTGGAGTTCGATTCGGGAGGTTTGGAGTCTTGAGCTTTGTTTGATTGTTGAGAAATCGTGGGAAATCACTGTTTTCGAAATCTCTCCTGTGTTTTTTTGGCTGCCAAACAGAGCATTTAGGGTTTGTGGTTCCCCAGCTTCAAATTAGAGGGGAAGTTGATTGAACTAGTCGATTTAGGGTTTATTGAATGTCTTTGGTTTATGTATTGGGAAATTTGACTTTGTCTCAGTCTTTGACAATTCGGTGATTGAGTCTTGCAGATTTTCATATTGCGGTTGAGAATTCGAGTGTCGGAAAATGACGATGAACGAGCGTAAGACAATTGATTTAGAACAAGGATGGGAGTTTATGCAGAAGGGGATCACAAAGCTGAAGAACATTCTAGAAGGATTGCCTGAGCCGCAGTTCAGCTCAGAGGACTACATGATGCTCTACACGTAATCTTTTATCTATTTTGTTGTTGTTGTGGTACTCATTGTCATTTTTGTTGGTTCTGTATGCTCCAAAGATTAATGTTGCTGATTGTGTTTTTGTTATCTTTGCAGAACCATATACAATATGTGCACTCAAAAGCCACCACATGACTATTCACAACAGCTCTATGACAAGTATAAGGAGTCTTTTGAAGAGTACATTACTTCGACAGTGAGGAAGCTTTTAGCTGTTTTTGTTTCGTTCAATTCCCAACTCTTCCTACTGTAATATAGGTTGCATTATTTACACTGTCACGAGCTCTGTAACGTCCTGTCCTCAGATTGAGATTCTGTAATGTCCTGTACTAGAACTATTAGAATTAAATGTATATTAATATGATATTCAATGTGACATGTGTAGTAAGGGCTAATGTATGCCTTCCCCAACTCCTAGTGTTTGAGATATTGGACAATAGTTTTTTCCTTCTTTTCACTTACGGATGCTATTCGTGATGCCTATTTCTAATATAATTTAATGTTATATGCTTATTATCAGGTGTTGCCATCTTTGAGAGAGAAGCATGATGAGTTCATGTTGAGAGAGCTTGTGAAGAGGTGGACAAACCATAAAATCATGGTTAGGTGGCTCTCTCGTTTCTTTCATTATCTTGATCGCTACTTTATAGCTCGAAGGTCGCTTCCTCCCCTAAATGAAGTTGGACTTACTTGCTTCCGAGATCTGGTAAGTCGAGTCGGAACTCTTACTCATCTTAAATCATGTACTTTGGTGTATTCTTTGGATTGCCTCCTTGAACTGTAGCCCAAACTGACTTCCATATACCCATTTTGATACTCCCATGTTGATACTTTTGTTTCTCTACTATCTGTTCTCCTCCCTCATCCCTAAACCTAATTTTAGTAAAATTTGAATGAAAGATGTCCTCCAACCTGATCCTTTCACAGCTTGATGAGATTTTGTTGTGTAATAGATTGTAATATGATGGACATATGATTGTGGTTTTCAGGTCTACCAAGAATTAAATGCGAAAGTAAGAGATGCTGTAATATCTCTGGTACGTTTTCAATTTTACCAGAGCTGCATGTCCTACTAGTGAAGTTGTGGAATAAATATAATTGACCGTATTTTTTCAAATCAGATTGATCAAGAACGTGAAGGAGAGCAGATTGATCGAGCTCTATTGAAGAATGTTCTGGATATATTTGTTGAGATTGGCATGGGACATATGGATCACTATGAAAATGACTTTGAAGCAGACATGCTTAAAGACACTGCAGCTTATTATTCGCGGAAAGCTTCCAACTGGATCCTAGAAGATTCTTGTCCAGATTATATGCTGAAAGTAAACTTCGTTATGTTTGTTTTATCAGGTTAAAATGTATATGAGTCTATATGAAATTATCACCAATGGACTTTGTTCTTTCGAAATTTCAGGCAGAAGAATGTTTAAGGCGGGAGAAAGATAGAGTTGCTCATTACTTGCATTCTAGTAGTGAGCCAAAGCTGCTTGAGGTTTGTACTTTATTATTTCTTTAAATTCACCTTGTACGCATATCTAGTCTTTTGGAAATTGTAATTCTAGGTGAGTTGGAATACAGTTATCTGTAGAATATGAATACTGGCTGTTAATATTGTTATTATTTTCTTAATGTAGAAAGTTCAACATGAGCTGTTGTCTGTGTATGCAACCCAACTACTTGAGAAAGAGCACTCTGGATGCCATGCATTGCTGCGAGATGACAAGGTACTCTCTGAGTCTGTTAAATTTACGGATTTGTTGATTAGATCGAATAAAATCAGAAAAACCAGACAAATGTTGCTTTCTTCTTATCATTTCTCTTCTGTCTGTTTTAGGTGGATGATTTGTCTAGAATGTTCAGGCTATTTTCTAAGATACCTCGAGGCTTGGATCCAGTTTCAAGTATATTTAAGCAGGTTAGCACTCTTCCTTTGTTTTTTTCTGGGTTATCTGGTGTGATATATATTTCATTTTCTGTCTTTTCTTTCATTTGCTAAACATTACATGGCGTGCCATGATGCAGCATGTTACGGCTGAAGGAACAGCCTTAGTCAAACAGGCGGAAGATGCAGCAAGCAACAAGAAGGTTTGTGCCCTAACCTTCATTTGGTACAGATTATTTGCGTATGTCATGGTAATCGACAGTTAATTGTACTTGAATGCTGACTTCTTGTTCCCCCCACAGGCGGAGAAAAAGGACGTGGTTGGTTTGCAGGAACAGGTAATTTCACGAACGTTGCACATCTAGAACTTTTGATTTGCTTGAGTGAAAGCTAATATGATTGTACTTTTCAGGTTTTCGTTAGAAAAGTGATTGAGCTTCATGACAAGTATCTAGCATATGTCAATGATTGTTTCCAAAACCATACTCTTTTCCACAAGGTTTGTATTTTAACAAGGTATTAATGTTCCTATTGTCTCTACTGACTACTTGTGCACATCTGACAGTATTTTTTTTGTCAATCTGTAGGCCCTCAAGGAGGCTTTTGAGATCTTTTGCAACAAGGGTGTTGCTGGAAGCTCAAGTGCGGAACTACTTGCCACTTTTTGTGATAACATTCTTAAGAAAGGCGGGAGTGAGAAATTGAGTGATGAAGCCATTGAGGAGACACTTGAGAAGGTCTGGACTCTTGATGTGCCATTACATTTATTTATGTTACATAGAAATATTAATTTTTTTTTTGTTTGGATAAACAATATTCATTAATAAATGCCAATCAAACTACAGGTAGTGAAGCTGCTGGCGTATATTAGTGACAAAGACCTATTCGCTGAATTCTATAGGTGTCACTTCTATTTTTCAAATTGCTTGATTTCAATCAAATATGTTTTGGGGAGGTCTTAGATGATTACATTAAGTTTGAAACTAGAAAACATTAGATTAACTTTAGATGTTTAATTGATGGCAGGAAAAAGCTTGCCCGACGTCTTCTTTTTGACAAGAGTGCTAATGATGACCATGAGAGATGTATCTTGACAAAACTGAAGCAACAATGTGGCGGTCAATTTACCTCAAAGATGGAGGGGATGGTCAGTTGCATTTGCTAATCCTTCGAGAAATGCTGTTTTGAATGTTCTGTTCATGTATTTCTGGGTTGCTACTGGGGATCTGACCAAAGAAAGAAAAATTGGTTGTTTTGTTTGCAGGTTACAGATTTGACATTGGCTAAGGAGAATCAAGCCAGCTTTGAGGATTATCTGAGCAAAAATCCACAGGCGAATCCTGGTATTGATTTGACAGTTACTGTGTTGACCACTGGCTTCTGGCCAAGCTACAAGTCCTTTGACCTCAACCTTCCCGCAGAGATGGTACACAGATTCTACTGAGAAAATTTGAAATTTCTTTCCTAATAAAATTTATATCTGCTGGGTTAAGTATCTGATGATGTTGCTAACTTCTCATGTATCACTCTTGCTTTAGGTTAAGTGCGTTGAAATTTTCAGGGAATTCTATCAAACAAAGACAAAGCACAGAAAGCTTACATGGATGTATTCACTGGGTACTTGTAACATCAGTGGAAAATTTGAACCCAAAACCATAGAGCTTATTGTGACAACTTATCAGGTGATGTGTTCAACATTTTATTCCAACTTTCCTAATCCATAGATCTATTTTTCATATTTTCCTTTTGGTTTCTGAGATACAGTTTCAAGTAGAGATTTCTATATTTTCTAAGACTGATTTCTCTTAATCTTACTTTAGGCATCAGCCCTGCTGCTATTCAATACCTCAGATAGACTGAGTTATTCAGAGATCATGACTCAATTAAATTTGACTGATGACGATGTTGTTAGACTGCTCCATTCCTTGTCATGTGCCAAGTATAAGATCCTTAACAAGGAACCAAATACAAAAACTCTCTCTCCTACTGATTACTTTGAGTTCAACTCTAAGTTTACTGACAAAATGAGGAGGATCAAGGTACTTTGATCTTTTCACTGTCTCGTGTTCTTTTCTTGTCTTCTAATTTTGTGGTTTATGTGAGTGATGAGTTATAACTGTGTTCACCATGCAGATTCCCCTCCCACCTGTGGACGAGAAGAAGAAAGTAATTGAAGACGTTGACAAGGACAGACGGTATGCCATTGATGCCTCAATTGTGCGTATCATGAAGAGCCGTAAAGTTTTGGGTCATCAGCAGTTGGTTATGGAGTGTGTAGAGCAGCTTGGTCGCATGTTCAAGGTTTGTGTAGTCCTTATTTTTCTGCTCTTATAAGATATTGAGATCTTTTTTCTTGGTTCTAAACCAGTGGTGTTTATTTCACTCTCCCTCTCATTCTTTCAGCCCGACTTCAAAGCAATAAAAAAGCGGATTGAAGATCTAATCACAAGAGACTACTTAGAAAGGGACAAAGATAACCCTAATTTGTTTAGGTACTTGGCATGATGTGGTCTAGTTGATTATCCTTGAAATGAAGCAGTACCTTTTTCTGCTATAGTTTGCCCAAGAAGTGGGTCAGGCGGTGGAAGAAGTGGCACAATCACATGTAAATGCCGGTGCACCAGTGACTAATAGTGATTGCTTAAAGCAGGAGCTGAGACTGCTTTGTACATTTTGCCCTTGGAGCAAGGTATGGCTGACTACTATGGATAGTGCACCCTTGCTGGAGAAATTTGTAATTGACTTCATAATACGGTCCGGTGTACCACAGGACTGTCTGGTATCTTTGTTTAATTACCCCAATATCCGTCGTCCCATGACTACATTTTCCGTTAATTGTTTCTTCGCCCTCACTGGAAGGAAAAGTATACTTTCGTTCCCAGTATGTCCACTTGAGTTGTGCTAGCTGACGATGGAATATAAAATTGATCAGGTGGATGCTTTCTTCTTTGATTGCGAAACGCATGGCTTGTAAACTCTGAATTTGTCTATAATCATCAGATGCTTATGCACTTGTGCTTCACGAGTTGTTTGGTCTGACTCTTGTATATTAGTTCCGGTGATGCTCTTTTTTCTTTTCTGAAGTTGATGAATTTGAATAAGATTTTCTCAGGAATGTTTTCGTTTTTATTCAGAGAAGTTAGACTTGGAAGAGAATAAAATCTCATATTCGGTAGGGACAACCCGTTTGGACTCTTCCTCGAATAATCCCAAAAGTAATAACCACTCATAATCTCAATCTGCAATTGGTTCCCCAAGGCTTAATGCTTGTGAGAGTTGAGTTTAAAAAATATAAGCAGTGGGGGTAAAAATGATTGCTAAAGGAGTTGATGTCATAATATTTGATATCATTCCAACCCTGACATTGGGAGAGGTGGAAGCACCTTTCTGTGAGATTTTTGCGTCGTTGGTCATAATATTTAAAACATGAGTGCTGTTTTGACCAAGTTGACACGCAATCAAATCTTAATATAATATAACCACCGGTGGGAAGCCGAACAATTAGGTTACACAATAAATCAATATGCATTAACGGCTCAGTCATTGCGTCTGGACAAATGATGCTAACATGATTTATAAATTATATGACAATGGAAACTCGATTTCCATTCTGATTACATCTTGCTAACGTGGCAGAAATAGTCACCAAAATATAATAAGTTCTTTTAAAAAATATATATTATACATATTCTAACAAGAGTGGAAAAGGAAAAAGTGAGATTTTCAGGTTTGGTGATGGTGATCAATGTTTTGGAACTTTTGTATTATAATACACAAAAGAAAAAACAAAACAAAACAAAACAAAAAAGGCAGGCTTTTTTCTAGGAGGTTCAATGAATTCCCATGCCAAAGTGTAGAATGGTAATGGAAGTGAGCTAAGCAAAATTAGCGGTTCTCTTTCACAAAGGGAAAACCAGAAGTTGCTCTTATGAATGAATGCCAATTTGGGTCCCCATCCCTACATTAATTCTGAGCTTCCTCTTCCTCTCATCCCATTGGTGCTTACTTTTTCTAAAGCCTGCTCATTCTCATTACAAAATCACTTGTTTAATCATGTTTGGGATTTGCAGCTTATAAAGTTCGCCAAACTTGGATTTTGGGACCCATTTGCTGAGATCACCCTCCTCCAATTATGCTAACCAAACAGAGGATTTCTTGAAAAGGATGCATCATTGCCTTTGGGGGAAAGAGGGGGTGAAGTTCCCACAATTGCTGATGGTAATGGCCAAATTAGAAAGAAACAGAACAAAACTTGCGTGAGCACTTTGGTTATTAGTGGGTTTCATTTTGTCAAAAGTCATAAAATGTGGTTGAGCTTTGCTTTTCTTTTGCTCCTCATGCATGAGTCTAGGTATAAACTCAGAGATTTTGTGTAAACTTACGGCTCTTGTCAATCTTTTTCTCTATAATTTATTTCATGGGTTTTTTTTATCAATGTGAAAGGGAGAATTGAACTTGAGACCTCTTCTAACACTAAAAATAGAAATATCATGAGATTAAGAGTTAGTCGGACTTTCATGTCTCCATTTTTTAGCCTTTTTTTAAGGATATGAACGATATTGGAGGAGGGGGAAATCCAAACTAGGAGCTCAAATACAGGAGTATATGATCTGAATCACTCGAGTTATAAGCCTCTTAATGTCTTAAATAGCTTGTTACCAAATAGTACTTCCTCACTCATTGACTACCCATCGATAAGAAGTTTGTAATGAAATATTTATAAAGGGTTTGATGAAACTCGGAATAAGAACACTTATTGACACTTTAAAAAAAAGTCATCATGCTTTCCTCCAATATTTATTATTGTAAAGAAACTGCACTTAAATGAGTGCATGATGACTTTTCTGAAGTTGCCTAGTTCCTTTCTGAATTCTCTGAAAATTACATACAACCATTAAATTGTATATAGAAGCAAATGGGAACAGATTCTTGAATCTGTGTACAAATTTCATCAAACCATGTCTTGGTTAGTTAATTAATTTATTCCACTAAACAAATTGCATCATCGATTTGCTTTTCTTAGTGACATTGTTCAAGTTGCATAGGTCATGCTTGATATATTGGTCTGAATTTTCTCACGCCCGTACTTCCTTTGCCAAGTAGGTCTCCAGCTTTGTTTTCACTTTAGCATTATTTTATTTACACGAAGAACTTTGTAGTGGGCACAGAGCAATTATAAGCAGGCAGCAAACAAACCTTGTTTCTTCTGTTTACCTCACCTCTCATGTCATGAATGTTTGAGCTTAGCTTTGTGCTCTACTTGTTGTTAGCACTCACTTGTCATTTCAGTTTTGAATCACCCCAAAAAAAAAAAAAAACCATTACAACACAACTTGCTCAGTGCTTCTTTCCTTCACCCCAATAATGTGAACAACAACAAAAAATTTCCAGACATTTCCCACCATTGAGAAAAAGCTCACCCTCTTTTCCCTTCAGCAATGGAAGACCGATTATTGTTGTCCATTTTCTTTTGGTGTTTGGTCTTTGATTCCTCCATATGATTGCATTGCATGCTTCTTTTTTTTATATATTAAGAATCTTATATAGAAAACAGTAAAAAGTGACATTTTTCTGTTTGATTCTTGTTTCCTTGTGCTTACAAGTACTGCTAGTTCAATGAGGCCATCAAAGACAAAGACAAATTGACAAGAAAAGCTTGTAAACACAAAGACCCCACAAGGCTTCAATTGATTGGTAGGCTTGTACAAATTGTGTTGCACATGAACAGTGCAGCTCGATAATTTGCACTTGTTTGACATACATAAGCACCAACTAGCTTTTTCCTTTTCGGCCTGAAATTTAAAAGATTTGGGGAACTGGGAACAGATTAAAATGATACAGTGTGTACAGAGTTTAATGATGGGGTTGGGGACTAAATAGGGCCTTCATTAACTAGTTCGAGTTTTTGGTTGGAAATCTTGGCAAACTCCAAGGTTTTCTTGCCTTGCAACTTGTTGGTTACATAGTGTTTACTGTATTCTCCATGATTGTATCTTCTGTACTTGCATGGGTTGTTTTCATCCACCAGTTCTTCCATAGGTGCAAGCTCTATCTCATAGCTAGGAGCATAAAATGTCACAATTGAAAGGCGGTCTTTCTCCTTATGAGTCACTGCTCTGTGCTCCACACTCTTATATTTCCCATTTGTAAGAACCTGCATTTATTTTGATATTAGAAACTAATATATCCAAGATACGCCAACAGGTTCTAGCCTAATGAAAAAGGACAGACTTCCAGTGGTTTCAAATTTGAACTCCCATGACACATTGGGGTGTATGTGTGTGAGAAAACCCCCTCACCCTTGTAGTTTAGACTATCGCTTGTATAAAAAACAAAAATCATAGATACCAAAATTTGAAAAAGAAACTATAACAAGATCAAATAGAAGATATTTTCTCACTTCTAGGGTGTCACCAATGTTGAGTATGAGTGCATTAGGGATGGGCTTAACAGGAACCCATCTGTCATCTTTGAGAATGTGAAGTCCTACTGACGTGTCCTTCCCCTGCTGCAGCACTGTGAGGGCACTTCCATCTGAATGTGGGCTTAGACCCAAAACAAGGTCAGGTCTTGAACATGGAGGGTAATAGTTCATCCTTATGGCTTGCACAGTCTCCCCAAACATCTTTTCAAACACATCACCTTTTAAGCCAAGGCTCATGGCTATGTATTTCAGCAGATTCTCGCACAGTTTCCTTACTTCTTTTGAGTAAACCTCTACAGTTCCACTTTAGTGAAAGAAAAAGGTTTAGACTTAACACTATAGACTTAATTAAAACCAAGAGACTAATAAACTTCGAAGCATAGCAAAACTTTTTACCTGAACTTTTCTGGTTCTGTTGGCCATAACAAGGGGTTCCTTATAAAATTGGGTTCAACCCCAAGAGCAAACATGTTGCACCAATCCAGTTTTTGGTCCTCTGATAGCACAAAAGCCTGCCCATATCCCTGAACAGTCCCAGGAGCCATTGCATACTTCTTTTTCTCTTCCAAAGGTAGCATGAAGAAGTCCTTGGCCACTTTCTCTATGCTCTCAAGCAGACTCAGATCAATCCCATGATTTATCACCTGTCATGTACAGTTACCACAGATCATTAGCCTCCATTTGATAATGTTTTTCAAAGCCAGAAACATAAAAAACTTTAATGTAAATTTGTACCTGGAAAAATCCCCAATGCTCACAGGCAGCTGCAAGCTGAGAGATTTCACTTTTGAGTTCATCTTTGCTTCCTTTTGAAAGCTTCGAGAAGTTGATTGTGGGAATGTCACTAGAGCATGGCATGGCAGGGGCCAGAGTTGGTCTCTCAGCCATGTCCCTTACAAATCTTTCAGGAATTATGGTGGGCTTAGTCTTTCTCAGTTCTTGGACATCATCAATCTGGCCAACCTTGATGGAGGAGATGGGTATTGGGGCCATGGAAGCACAAAATTCGGAGGCAACAAAATTAATCAAATTCTATTGATTGCTAGTTCTACTTGGTAGCTCAAGTGTTGTGGAAGCCTGTATTTATAGAGAGAGAAAAAGCATAAATGTAGGCAACTTTGTTTATGGGGCTTCTATTTAATATTGGTATTGTTGTTGCATCAGAAATTGGTTGTGTGTTTTTGGGGACCTACATTGTGCACTTTACAAATTAAGTCATACATGTATCATCCCATTAGACCAGAGGCTCAACCAAATGACTAATGACAGGCAGGGTATTGGTTAATATCAAAGTTTAGGTGCGAAGATTTGATGGACATACTAACGGAGGTATGAAAGTTGTAAGAATATCAAATTTTATTTATGAAGTAGACTCGAAAAAAAAACTTCATGTAGCAAAGTCTGAATCTCGTAAAATTTTCCGGTAATATAGTGAAAGGGTGGTGCTAGAGGCACCAATTTGGGCACCAACTCTCTAATAGAGGTGGAGCCCTCTAATACAACGGATCCCACGCTCTATTGGAGGGTTGATGCCTCTAGCATTATCCTATAGTGAAATATATCCTATTTATTATTTTATTTATCTTTGTTATGAAACATGTGATGTGATGCAGTAAAACTTTCTTCTGAGAAAAAGGAATCTAACAGTGGTGGTAGTACACTCAATTGTCTGTTGTGGCAGGCTTAT